TGTTTTTTTTTTTTCTGGGTTTCTTTTCCCCTTCACTAAGGATGTGGAGTTTCCATGCTCAACACCAGCCTGTCCCGATGCAAATACATGGTTAGCTGGATACACTGCATGAAAACTCACTGCTGGCATCTTTATTAGCTGTAATGACTGTGTTAGAATCACTGCTAGCCATGTACTTAACGTTGCCAATCATTAAGGTAGCATTCAGAGGCTTAATCTGTATATATGCTATGCCCTATAATGTGTAAAAGCTGAATTATTTTGAATACATTGCCTTTGTTTTCACATTTAAGGTCTTATGCTCGCAATAAAAGTATTCTCAACAGAAAACTGTACATTTCTATCATGTCAGATGTTACTTCCTTGTTAACTATGTGAGAGCTGTTCTGGATGACTAGGTCCCAAGAAGCTGAGTATTCCTGCTTTTTTCTTATCCTTTGGACTTGGTACTTTCACCAGTGCAAAGTGCAACATAGCTCCAGCCCAGCCCACTACCCCTCTCTGAACGGGAGAGAGAAGTGTGGTCTGGTGGTGGTGTCCAAAAAGTGGGATTTTACCCAGTATGCAATCCAATACACACAGGGTAGAGATATTTCTTTATTACAAAGTTTGCGCAAAGTTGGGAGCTAGGTGGTATTCCACAATGCCAGCTCTCCTTTACCAGAAAATCATCGCACATTTATCCTGTTGCATGATTAGTATAAACCCACCCAAAATTACACGCATTGGTTAGTACTTAACATATCATCTACTACTGGTTAAACATATTTAAATTAGTGCACATACTCTGTGCAGGCATGGGGGGATAAATCTCTTTGGTCCTGAATTGAGTTGGTGGCTGTGATCTTCGTTTGCCACCTTTACCTTTCCACTAGTTACTGCTGGCTCTTGCTGACTTTATGCTTGTGGTATTTTTCTAATCTCATTAACCTTCCTTATAGCAAGATATTTTCTTTATCAGTCTTTGAAGTCCTTGCTTCTGTTTCTCCTTTTGTGATTGCTCCTCTGCTATCCCCTATCATCTTAAAGGAAACAAAATCTAGTACATCTTGCATCAGTGGCAGCTGGGAAAGCTGCATGTGTCTGCCCCAGGTCTTTCCCTCCCATGTGCTATGGGCTTTGGCATTCAGACACTTACACCAACAGTCATGATTGCAACTCCTAATTTTGCTTGTTTTGTTGAGCTGGTAATGTTGATAACCTCAGATACTGAGCATTGAGCAGATGCAGGTGTTTGCCATCTCCATAAAAGCAATACTGAGCATCAGCATCTCAAGATAAGAATCCGAGAAACCTGGCAATACCTGCTACAGGGGGCTCTAACCTCAGTCTGACAGTACGGGGAAGTGTTGGAAAAATAAGAGTTACAGGTGCCAAGCCTTTCCAGTCATCCTCTATAACAGGTGTGTCTGCTGAGCTGGAGATTAACCCATTGCACAATAAATAGGGTAGTTTATTTTTCTTAAACACGAAACTTCGATCACGAACTTTCAAGGAGAAGAAAACATGGGCAGCTTTGCAGTGCCTGTGACCAGGGCATCAACGGGCTCCGCAGGCAGTCGCCATTGCCAGATCCCACATGGCTGGGTGGGTAGAAGATGCAGTCTGTTTCTGTCACCGGAGTTTACCGGCTGCCTAAAGCACGTGGTTTCTCGAAAACCAAAAGGAAACGAAACCAGCTTCCCAAACTGCTGACGTTTCCTTGCACTGCAGTGGGAGGCACGTCCTTGACTTCCTGGCTGGGGACAGGGCCAAGAAAAGTTTGGCTGCCACATGCAGGCTGAAATACCACGGCTGTGCCCCCTGCTCAGGATTTCCTAGCACTCTGTCCTCCCGGCCTGACCCTGCCAGTGAGGAGCACTCCGTCTGTGGCCAAGGCTGTCTCTGCAGTGCTGCCCAGCACCCTCGTTAGAAAACATTTCTCCTTATTCAGCAGAAATTACACTTCAGAGCATTCGCTTTCTTTGGGATATTAAACAAAACAAACCATGAGAGAGGAAAAAGAAATAAACCAAACACGCATCCTGTTCCTCCGGGGTGGGGGAGTGAGTGTCGGCAAAAATATGACGACATTACGATTAAACCACAACTTTTTCACAGCAGTACACTTTTGAGGCTGAAAAAATAGGCTTCAGGCGTTTTTTTATTTCGATCTCCTGAGGTGTGGTACAAATGCGTATAACCCTATTAGAGATGTCAAAACTTTATGAGATATTACTGAGTTCACCTTACAAGGACTCGGCAAATCACGTGGGGGGAAAATAGAAGATAATTCTCCAAAAGAGTAAAAGTAACACCCGAAGGTGAAAGGAAAGAACAGGAAAGAACAGGAAAGAACAGGAAAGCGTGTCACAGAGAGCACGGTGACATGCTTGAAGGCATCATTGTTCGTTTCGTCTGTGCGGCAGGTCCTGTGCCACTCACAGCTGGCTTAACAACAGACAAAAGTGACCCACTGCACCCCAGAACTGGACAAACCAGATGAATTTATGGTACTTCTGTGGAAACACATTGAAGAAAGGGCAGTGAATGCTGAAAAAGTAGAGACGAGGCCAGGGCAGAAGGAGACACGGCTATGGCAGGGCAGGGTGCACGAAGGGCAGCAGGGCAGGAAAGGGACACGGAAGGAAGAGAGCTGCCCGAGCAGGGACAGAGGGAAGACACAGGGGCACCCAAAGGGACAGTGACCAGTGGAGGAACCCACACTGGAGCAGCTGAGTAGGACAGAAGGAACAATGAGAGCAATGGGGCCCCTACACATGATCTCCAACTCCCGCACAGCTCATGGTCTCAACAAACGGCTTGAGCGTAACCCGCGGCACAGGAGTGGGGGGCCGGGGTGGGGAAGACAGGTGCCTAAGTGTTGGTTGGTTTGTTACTTGGCAAGATATTAATTTGATCAAAATTTCCCAACTCAAACCAGATATTTTTTGGCCCACACCAGGATGTCTGACAATACATCGAGTGAACAAGCGCCTTTGTAATACAAAGTCCCAAATGAGATTGGGAAGAGCCTGTAAACTGCTGCAAACAAAAAAAAAACCAAAGGGGAGGGAAAGGAAGGGAGAACAAGGGAGTTGAAGAATAAAAGGCTAAGAGGGAAGATGTATCCTTGAGCAATGTGCAGTGCTACCATAGCTCAGGCCAGAGTGCCAGGCTCACCACTGTGCTCCAGCTTCTCCAACTGAGAAGTGTCCACAGCAAGTCAGGGTACTCCAGGATCCACGAGGAAAACATGACACCTACAGAGCGGAGGAAAAGTTGCAAGCAAGTAGTCGTACACATCCACATCCCAAAGAAAAATCAGCTTTACCTCCATGCTCCAGACCTGCCCGAGCCCTTTTCCCTTTGGTTAAAGTTGGTGCTGCTCTTTCTTCAGAAGCTCACTCTGAGGCCACCCATGACCAGTACCTGGTGCATGTTCTGCTCTCACCTAAAAACTTGGTGCTTTTCCCACTGAGCTCCTCTCCGGAGGTTTTGGCTCCCAAGGGCTGGGAACCACCAACCCCTGCAGCACAGCTCCTTCCTCTGCATCCCTGTGCTGGCAGCTGGGCTCAGCCGACCTGCATTTTCCTGGTTTGTGTTACCTTCAAAGAGGCAGCAGTCCCAGCAGCACAGCATGCCTGAAATTTGGGACATTTTTCAGAGGATTTTGGGACGAGAAAGCAGAAGGCTTTGCAGCTTTCTATCGGACTACTCTCTGCTGTGGTGAAAAGGTAGGGGGGAGGGAAGTTGGGGATAGCTTCGGTGAAGCCATTAGAGGCATCCCTCTGCAGAAGTGGGACACAACCACACCAAGACCGATCGGTCTCTGTGAGGCTGCAACCATCACTTTCCTTCTGCCCCGTGGCATCAGGCTGGTTTTGCTCGCTGTTCCACACATTTCTTCCTTTGCCTATTCCTTCCCTCCTCTAAACCATCCCAAACAATACAAGGTTTTGTCTGTGCTCAGGGTCCAGCAGCAGCAGCAGTTTCCTCAAGCCCCTTAGCCCTTATTTTGTGTGCATGCCCTGGAATCAACCAGAACATTCCTGCCAGAGGTTAAGCCTAGGTGCCATGTGGCTAATCCCAAGATTTTTTTTGCTTCCAGTTCCAAGTGACCGTGACACGTACACGCTGTACACTAACCTTTCTCCTGCTGCTTACCTCTTTCTCCCTCCCAGGCAAGTAGGGCTTAAGGATAGGACAGACATCCCAGCTACAAGCCAGAAGGATTAGGGCAGCAAAATGCCTGTGCTTCCAGCCTGGTAGTCCTGCACCCATTTATCTCCTGCATTAAAATGACATGGCTTGCTAGGCCACTGTGGCCACGGATGCTGTGCCCATGCTGTTGTCACTGTCCCCGCAACAGTGTCGTTTTGGGCTGGTGATGCCTCCCACCCACCGGCTAGGAGCAGCGTGGAGTGAGTCCCTGCTAAACCAGAGGGCTGTGGGGAAAGCAGGGACTATGTCATGAAAGCAGTACTAGAGAGAGTTGCCAGAGCTGGAAACGGGATCTTTGGACTGAAGGAGCAAGAAGTGCTGTGAAGAGGAGATGGCAGGGCACCACGGTGCCTGCAGCACAGCAGCGATTGCAGGAACAAACCAGGAAAATTAGTGCTTGGGCAAGGATCGCTCTCAGGAAAGAGAAGCCAAGCACTGGGCTTGGCAGGGGTGAGAGGGGAAGAGAGATGATCTTTTTCTTCCCCTCTGAAAATCCCCTTTTCCTCTTTTCTCCTCAGACAGTGTGATCTTTACTCTGGTACCTGACGCCACAGTGAGAGCGCTAGTCCTCCTTCCTCATGTGGTTGGTTTCTTTCCTGATTAAACGTGATTAGGCAGCCGTAAAGCCTGCAGAAATGTGACCAAGGGGAACGGAGACAAAGAGTCCATTCAAGATCTCTTAAATCCCCAGGGCAGTATTTAGAGAGCCCCGAGTAGAGAACCAGAGCAGAACTGCCCTGCCAGGACCTCCTCGTCCTTCTCGTTCCCACTGTGTCCTTCATTGCAGCCGTCTCCTCCACCATGTCGTTCTCTGAAGCAGAGGTGCAAAGTGCCCGTGGTGCCTGGGAGAAGATGTATGTGGATGCTGAGGACAATGGGACAGCTGTGCTGGTCAGGTAAGGAAGGAGCCCATCCCACTGCTACCCAAGAGGACTGAAGGAGGAAGGCCAAGAAGGATGGAGTTACCACCTAGGAGCATGTCTTGATGCATTTTCATGCAGCCCTTGCTGGGGACGTTTTGGGGTGCTGTGGTTTATCTCACCTCCGGGAGGAAACAGTGAAGAGAAGAAACCTACACAAAGAAAAGTAAAAGGAAATGGGGAAGGAGGGTGGAAAAGGAGGGAGAGACAAGAACAATTTCTTCACTCCACCTCTGTCCCTAGTAGAAGGGTGATATATTTAAGGTAAAAAAAAGTATGGTATAAAAGAGAATGGGAACAAAATATGGGCCTATTTACCTCTTTTCCTTTACGTCTGAACTCCTTTAATGATTTTCCTTTCCAGTCCAGAGCCCATCTGTTTCATTGTATTGTATCCTTCCCGTGGGCTTTCCTCTCTTAGTTTTCACTGTTTTTCTCTCTTCTTCTGTAAGACACAAGTTTCTTCTATTCAACTTTCACACGTCCCTCTCTCAGCTGGGACATATATCACCTCCATAAGCACTGATCAGTCCAACTACTATTTCTGGTTATCCTACCTTTACCACGCCGTCTCACTTTCTTGTATATCACATCTTGTCCCTCAAGGTATGTTATGCGTGGCTCTTTCCTTCTATCTGAGGAGCGTTAGGGTCAGAAATGCAGATATAAAACATTAGTAGCATTACCCCAGTGGCTTGGCTCCCTGGGGTAATTTACTCTAGAAGGTTTTGGCTTAGTGTTCTACAGACCCAGCCCTGCCTTTAGAGAAGTTCTGGGCTCCCCAGTACAAGACATACCAGAAAGAGTTCAACAAAGGGCCACTAAGGTGATAAAGGAACTGGAGCATCTCTCCTGTGAGGAAAGGCTGAGTGCTGGGACTGTTCAGCCTGGAGAAGAGAAAGCTCAGGGGAATCTCATCAATGTATATAAGAACCTGAAGGGAGGATGCAAAAAAACCAGAGCCAGGCTCTTCTCGGTGATTGCCCAGTGACAGGACCAGAGGCAATGGGCCCAAACATAAAGACAGAGGGTTCCCTCTGAACATCAGGAAACATTTTTTTGTTTACTGTGAGGGTGACCACGCACTGGCACAGGTTGCCCAGAGAGACTACAGAGTCTTCATCCTTGGAAATATTCAAAAACCGTCTGGACATGGTCCTGGGCAACTGGCTCTAGGTGACCCTGCTTGAGCAGGAGGTTTGGACCAGATGTCCTCCAAAGGTCCCTTCAACCTCAACTGTTCTGTGACTCTGCAAAATGCCATCTGGACTTTGCTATTGCTATTTCAAGTGGATAACTGGTTTACCCAATGAGTAAACTGCTTTTTTGAGAGCTTGACCAAGATGATTGTAATTGATGTATTATAAAATCCAATTCCTTTACAAGTGACATTGAATTGTGTTACTTTTGAATACATAAAATGAGCAGTACCTGGTACTGAAACAATAATCCATCACAGGCAGTAAGAAAGCTTTGGGATGGACTCTAGGAAGGGTTTAATTAACCAAATGAATAGGAGGGTTTCTCCATCAAAACACACACTGAGAGCACAGTGGACATATCTGCTGTCCAGAACATCCTTGGGAATATTGCACTGTCACACTCACCCCTTTGTGAATGCACTCCCACTTCTCTGTGGATTTTATCTCCACCTAACACTAAGCCAACACTGAGGAAACATTTACTTCAGCAGCAGTGGAGTAAATTCAAGGTAGGTAGGTTTTCAGGTGGATTAAGCAAAGGGAAGTGCCCTGGGGAGAGGCAAGGGAGGGGACAGGCTGCCGTGGGCACAGGGATTGTGCGCAGATGGCAAGGACAAAGGAGGACCAAGAAACGCAGGCAAAAGAGGTGTCTGTTCTGATAAAGAGAAGGAAAAAGGGCAAAAATGCAGGAGACAAGGCCTGGAACATGAAGCCATATCTGTATTGATGCCTCAGTACACAGATTAGGATGTCTCTCATTTCTCAACAGGATGTTTACCGAGCACCCAGACACCAAGTCCTACTTCACACATTTCAAAGGCATGGACTCTGCCGAAGAGATGAAACAGTCGGATCAGATCAGAGGCCATGGCAAGAGGGTTTTCACCGCCATCAATGACATGGTGCAACACCTGGACAACTCTGAGGCTTTTCTTGGGATAGTGAACCCACTTGGCAAGAAACATGCCACCCAGCTGAAGATCGACCCCAAAAACTTTAGGGTGAGCTCGCAGCCCTCTTCCCAGGGGGTGTAATTGTGATGGGAGGATGCCTTCCCCTTTGAGAGGCAGAACTGAGAAAAACAGGCTTTGTATATATAAATATATATATTTGTATATACAGATGCCAGATCTCTCATTCCTGCCATCTTCCACCATCAACTGTCTCAGAGTGAGAGATGGAGATGATGGAAGGCGAGACAGCTGATGGTGGAAGATAGCAAGAATGAGAGTTCTGGCATCTGTTGGGAAGAAGGCTATGCAGCAGATGTGGTGCAGGCAGGTCTGCTCAGGTGGGAGGTGCGGACCTGCCCGTGAGTTGTAGTGGGTTTTCTCAGTGCAACAGGATTCCCACGCTTGCCATTTAATAACAAGACACAGAAAAGCAGCTTAACACTGGACTTCAGTCCTTGATGTCTATTTTCTCTAGTAACAGGAACTGAGCTTTTCTAGGGCAACTAAACCAGCTATTATTGAGCAACAATGGCAACAGCATTGCCATCACTGAACAAACACAGATAATAAATCTAGGATCAAATAATTTGCCCAAGTCCAACTAAGGTCACTAGCAGAGTGCATTTAAAACTGCCTGCCTTACACAGCACAAAATACAAAATGTAAAAAGAGGCACCTTCTGGCAAAGGTCACTCAGGCACCAGGAAGGTGGTTTCCAAAGCAGTGGGCCCCATGTTCAATAAGTGGGAGAGTAAGTGAGGATTTCTGCTTGGAGAGATCCTGAAAAGACTTTTTCAGGGTAAAGATGCACACAAAATAATAAATGCTTCACAGAAAAGGAGCTGATGTTTCAAAGTATGCCGCCTACCTGGCTGCTGTAAAGACAAACAAACCCTCATTGCTACAGAGCACTAGATAGCTAACAAGCAGGAAAGATTAGGAAGAAACTTACCCCCAAGCCATGTACTCCATAGGGGTCCTACACAGGGGTCCTCAGGACCTCTAAACATTTGGGATAGTCCACTGCCAGATTGATTGCAGTAGATGGACCAAGTGAACTGGTCCTGTACAACCATCTTTAAGTGCAGTCAACATTAACTAGATACAGGGTAGTTAAAAGAAACAGCAGCAATGACTGCATTTTTTTGTGAATTCTATAATGCACCTAATTTTCCGTGACCTGTTATGAGCTCTGCATGCTATATGCTGTTGGATTGTTCTTGTATCCCTTTCTGTCCTCCAAGAATCTCAACTAAAAATATTTATTTTGTTCTTATGCCTCTAAAGTGAAGGAAAGTGCACACTGGTTGTTTCTTCCTTTCTCCTTGTTCAGATTATCTGTGACATTATCTTGCAACTGATGGAGGAGAAATTTGGCGGAGAGTGCAAAGCTTCCTTTGAGAAGGTAACCAATGAAATCTGCACTCACCTGAACAATGTCTACAAAGAGGCAGGTTGGTGAGGATGTGAAACCTCCAGGCTCTTCTAACGTCTCACCAGCACTGATTTGCTGGTTTTGGTCCTTCAGCCACAGTTGGAAGAATGAAAAAGTAAAAAAAAAAAGGCTTATATAATGTAGATATCAATAATTTCCTTAGCCAACAGTTTCTACAGCTAAATAAAACCTGCAGATACATCAAAGCCAAACAACAAATCCTGATGTGCTTTGCAGCTTCAGTGCTCCAGGTGGGTTCCTCTGGCCAGCATCCTTGAAGACTATATTATAAGACGATGATTTTAAGCTTGCTATTCCTGAGAGAAAGACTTGCTTCTTCCAGCAGCATCAGCCCAGAGAGGCACCAGCAGCTCTTTGTCTCAGCTGCCACCTCTCCATCCTCATGAATGATAAGCATGACCATTTTGAGGTCATTATTTAAGAGGCAATAGGTGTTGTTTCATGTTTGAACTAAAACAATGAGGGGAGTGATGTATGGGAAATACTAATGTCTGAGAAAGACACGGGGAAAGTCCCATCTTACATAAGCCAGTGGAGTTCCCCAACCTTGGGAAAGGTTTCTCGGAGCAGCTTTCAGTGTAAGGGATGGCAACGCTGAATGCGGTCACCACTGGGTCCCTCTGGGCAGGGGATGAACATCTATGATTCTATGATCTCCAGCACATGGATTTCACTTTTTTGCTACTCCCAGCAAATCGCGCTGGCCACGTACCCAGGAGAGGGCAATAGTACTGAGCTCACCCTCTCCTGTACTACTCAAAACGCACCCAGCTGAGGGAGGCTGCTGCCCTGCTGAGTGGGTGGCATGTTGGGCTCAGCTCAGCGTGGGATTTCTACAGCGCTGCCCTCATCCTGCCCTGTCGCATGGCCTGAGCCTTCCTTCAGTGGTAACTGAGTCCCAAACAATTTAATTGCTTTTCCTTGTGTTCCTTAGACGTGGTGAAATCATCAGCTAAGAACTGCAAATAACTACATGCCGTTTTGCTTCAGTGTAACGCAATAAACACAAAGAAAGCAGATGAGTCCTCTAATTTGTAGCACGGAAAAGGCACACATGATGCGCAGGAGCGGTAGCTGGTTACAGTGCACGGTTACTGGTGGTAGCCGCGGGTTTACTGAAACCAGCTCAAGCTCCCACACAGGCACCTATCACAATTGCAGTAATCAGGCTTCTTGGGTGGTGGGAAGGGAACCTTTTCACTTGATCACGAAACAACAATTTTGTAAACAGCTAAAAATGCAGAATTCTCCTTTACTCGAGGTGTAGTTTCCTCACCCATACCATTTCTTTAGCAAAGGATGCGGAAATCTCAAAGTCCAGAAGATGAACTCTTGCTGGAGAGGGAGGATGGGCCAGGCCGCTTCATTGGATTCGGTATTTTATCCTGCTTGGGGAGAAGGAGAAGCGTATTGCATAGTATCGTCAAGTATTTTAAGGAAAGAGCAAGCCTTGTGAAAAAATATTTATAGTCTCAAATCCCTTTGAGGCAGTACAAGTAAAGTTAACACTCTGAAAAGCTTAAAACAATTGCCCCTTTTTATTGAATTGCTTTAATGCACATTAAAAGTGCTGTTTGCCATGGTGATGGTTGGTTGTAATGACATGGTCGTCACTGCCATAGACACCCTGGGCTGGCAGGAGCCCGACAACACTGGCCAATGGTTTAAGATTTTGTGTTCCCTGCGACGGAGAGAGAGGCCTAGCAAAAGCAAAGTATGTGAAACAAATCAAGCTCAGGCTTAAGTAAAGAGAGAATTTTTTTAAAAAATCCATTTACAAAGGGGACACGTTAAATTTTAAAGATTGTATGATGTGAGTGGTTTAGGAGTACACGGCCCTTTGTTTGTTTGTTTGTTTATCCGAGATTTCAAAGGACGGCAGGAAGCTTTCCCGACAGAGCATAGATCAGACGGCATCTTGAGATTGAGGATACCTGAGCTGAATTCACTGCACAATCCTGCCTAGCTTTCCCTGGACTTCACTGTGCCTCTGCAAAACAGCAACATTCACGTACTTGGGAGGCAAACCAACTTTATTGAACCAGTAAATATGTGATGTGGTGCTATACATACTGTATGCATTCTTAGGCATACCTTCGACGCGGTGAAGAGAAACCTCAGGGAAATATCATACCTAAAGGCAGTAGGAAGAGATTTCCTGTGGAGCACCACCAGTGAGTGGGACCAAAGCCCTCACACTAAGCTTCATGGTTTTCATACAGCCTGTGGGACATCAGGAAGGTTTGGGTGAGACGACAAACCTGTGACATAGCACGAGCAGTACGAAAATGACTGTGACAGGTTAAATTAGCTAAGTGCTGTGGAGTCGTCTTTGTGCCTGACCTAAACCAGAACAATGCAAACAGATGGAAAATACCGAGAAAGGGGAAGAGGAGTGAGAGGGAGCTCATGGAGGAAGTTTATCCTCAGCTAATAAAATCCAAGTGCTTTGCCAGTCATGTTGCTGGGGAAAAAAAAGCATCCCCACAAGCAAAACTTGACCTTGTAGAGACAAGCGAATGCTTTCCTGATTCAAAATATTACCTAACACTGTAAAAACACATATGCAGTTAAATCTAGTTCATTGACTTCACTGAGCAGGCTCAGACCTTCCAATGGGGGCAGCTCTGGGAAAGAACAAGGAATAGAAAATAAAGGATCACAGGCAAAGAGATGAGAGAAATTTAACTTGAAAAACTTCAGTTGCTGTGAGAACAAAGCAGAAACTTATCCAGAGGAAGGTGCATTTGCAAAGCATCCCTGGACAAATACAAATCAACGTTGGGATAAAATCCAAGAGACCAGTGGTGTGTGACAGCATCACCAAATCACTCTGAGACAAGGGCTACGAACATACCAAGGCGATTTGAAATGACAGTGAGTGTTTTACAGAACTAAACCTAGCTGTTGAGGCATTTAAGCCTAATAAATTTATTGCTAGAGTCTGAGCCAAGCAGCCTTCCTGCCCCTGCCTGCAGCATGGGCAGTAGAGAGGCTCAGCGAGGGGAGCAAGGGGAGGAAGTTGTCTCAGATATTCCGTGGCTGTCCAGAGACCTTGCAGAGGACTTGGGGAAGCTTCTAGGAAATCCTTCTAGCAGGGTCCAGAGGAAAACCCTCCTTTGCACCCACCCTTCTTGCTGGAAGGCCGTTTGCGTTATTGCTGATGGAAGTGAAGGGCTGTTTGAGCTCCTTTGTTGTAGAGCTGTGGGCATAGGTACAACTATAGCCCTCAGAGGTGTTGCTTTACATTGAAAGAGTAGGGGCTGCTTCTATTTGCTATTTAAAACACCTAGGGATGGGCAGAAGGCAGTGAGGGTACAGCCCAGACGGGAAGACGCTGGGAACAGCAATGTTTCTACCCTGTGCTAAGTGTCAGGGTGGTTGCTTCCGTTAGAGCTGGAGAGGAGCAGGGAGAGCCCTGTTAGACTTTCAAGTCACCCTCCTCCTTAAACAGAAGGTGCCACAAGGCTTGTAGTGCACCATGTGTGATGGCAAAGGATTGCTACCTATAGAAGATCATACTGAGATAAGACAGGTGAATTGCAATGTCTGAATCAGCACTAGGGGCCAGTGGTCCCTGCAAGACAGAACAGCCACCCAATTCAAAGAATTCAAACGCGGGGCCATCAGGCATGGCGGTTCAGGCATCTCAAAAGCACAGGTGTGACTCATACTGCAAACCAAACCAAACAGCTCCCACATCTATTCTAACTTGCTCAGTTTTCAACATTTCTTCTCAGTTTTCATTGTAAAATGCCTCTTTTCTTTCATGACGTAATCCTACTTTAGGGAAAGGCAACATTAGAAATGATGCCTTTTTTTTCTTTATCTTTGCTGTGGCTAATACTGAGTTAATGAACATTTGTAATTAGAATATCACTGAGGCTCAGTTAACCATACCAGAGCGCTTCTGGCTTATGCAGTGGGATGGGTTTGTGCCAGTTCAGTGCATGGTTATACTGGTCAGATCGCATGCAGTCAAAACAAGCCTAAGGCACACAGGAGTGATTTTTTTTTTTTCCTGGTGTGAGCCAGCGGCACCCTAGACTGAATTGTTTGCTTACTCAGTGGACAGTAGAAATAGCAGCCTCATTTTACTGCTAGAATATTTTGCATGCTTGCCTTGGGGAGCCCAGGCTTCTGCCTCTGACATCCCTGGAAGCATCTGCCCAGGAAGACGCACTGCTGCAGGGTCTCTCTCGAAGGCAGCAACACGGCATGTCACCTGCATCCTGCACCACCACATGGCAGCAGACAGATCAGGGACACACTGCTGGTGCTGCTGATCTCCATCTGGAGATGATCTGGAGCAGTTCATAAGTAACTGTAGGCCTGTGGGAAGGACTCAGGTTGGAGAAGTTCATTGAGAATTGTATCCCATGGGAGGGATCCCATGCTGGAGCAGGGGAAGAGTGTGAGGAGTCCTCCCTCTGAGGAGGAAGGAGCAGAAGAAACATGATGAACTGGCTGCAACCCCCATTCCCTGTCCCCCTGTGCCACTGGAGGGGAGGAGGTAAATTATGAGCAAAGTTGAGGCTGGGAAGAAGGGAGAGGTGAGGGGAAGGTGTTTTAAGATTTGGGTTTTATTTTCTCATTATCCTACTCTGGTTTTGATTGGTAATAAATTAAACTAATTTCCCCAAGTTGAGTCTGTTTTGCCCATGACAGTAATTGCTGAGTGATCTCCCTGTCCTTCTCTTGACCCACAAGCCTTTTATTGTATTTTCTCTCCCCTGTCCAGCTGTGGAGGGGAGCAATAGAGCAGCTTTGGTAGGCACTTGGCATCCAGTCAGGGTCACCCTACCACAACAGGCCACCAGCAGAGCTTTGCACAGGGTTACAAGCAGAGGCAGAATTTTAGGACAAGGCAGACAATGGCTTGGAAACATTGGAGCTGACATCAGGATTACGGTACCTCCCTGCATTAACACAGCAGTTGCCCTCACCTGTTGGAAATCAGTTCTTTACTCTTGTTGCTCTGTTGCAAACCAGTTTGAGCTTGGGAAGATGGCAGCACTTTAATAAGTTACAGTAGTTTGATGCAAAGTCCCAGACACAGTTATCACCTTCTAGTGATGGATACGCAGAGGCTTGAGCAGGTCTTTGATGCTGGTGGTGCCCGACAGCTGATGCTGTGAAAGCCTGCAGCCCCCCTGAGCCAGCACCAGGAACAATTTCTATCTTTGTGCTCCTTCCTAACTGAGCATCACCATCAATACTTTACTACAGTCAGCATTCTCCAGATCATTTCAGCCTGGGAAAGGGCTGCACAGCCACAGCAGCTCCTGCTGTCCAGCAGGCCCTTTTTGACCTTGCACCGTGGTCAGCCCTGCTCTGTTGCCAGCTAATCCCGACTCCCCGCTGGCGCATTTCCTAGGACAGTGCTGGCCTGCCGTGCTCTGCGCAGCACTACCAAGGGCCTGGAAAAGCAGCTTGGGACTGCAGTTTCCCCAGCAACAGGAGGTGAAAAGCCAGAGCCAGGAGAGACAGGTCATGAGGGAATTTTCTAATTGCCTGCTGACTGTCCATTATATGCCTGCAGAAGGGCAAGCAGGAGTAAAGAGAGACCAGGGTAGAAATTTCTTTCTCTCTTCCCCAGCAGTTCACTGCTTCCCAGTCTTGCAGGCTGCAGTGAAAGCTGGAGCAGGTCTTAGTGAAAAGAAGAGTTAAAGAATTGCATGAGCAGTAACGGTGCAAGAATTTATTAAGAAGCAGGTAGGAAAAAAGTGATTGAAGCAAAAAACAAAGAGCGAAAACCATACAGGACTGATTGAGGACCGCATCAACGCTTTTTATAAGCCACTGCATCAGGAGAAACTAACCTCTACTGTTTGTGAACAAAGGACAACTATACTGAGCCAGGTGGGATGTGAAATGTGGGATGGAGAATAGTAAACCAAGGGGGCAGTTATCAGGTGCTGCAAACCCTTGCACAGCACGCTGCCATCACCTCTGGCACATAGCTCACTCTGCGTTTATACTTTGCTTAATGTTGTTAATTTATTACTTATTAATAAGTTAATTTATAACTTATTAATAACATAATAATGTTAGACGTTGCTGACACAACTACAATCTGCTTGGTAAGAGTCCTGGAAGAGACAGCGCACACGTCTCACTGAGTCATCATCAGCACCACATGAGCTTCTTGTTGCAATACTGTGTTCCTGTAGCTAAACCCATTAGTTCGGATGCACCCACCCATGCCTTTAGCTGTCTTGCATTGGTCCCGCTGTCCTAAGGCAAGTTGCTACCATTCTCTCTTCAAGCTAAATAGATAATCTCTACCCCAAGGTTATTTAAGGTTTGCACAATCATCCATTTGCATTGGCTTAGGGGGTTGGTTCACTTATTTTCTCCTGCTGCCCCTGGAGCAAGATGGAAGATGCCTCAAAGGCCTAAACTGGTGCAAGACAGACTGGACAGGGAGAAGGGCTTCAGGGCCCTGCACTGTAGGGGTCTGCACTGTAGCAACAGGAGGATAAATCACAGATTCACTACCAGATGGAAGGCAAGAGGACAGGTAAGAACAGCCTCCTCTGCCAGCTTCATTGGCAAGTCTAACGGTGGGTAACGTGATACAGCTGCACCAGCCCAAGCACCTCTTTGCTTGGAAATAACACTCTTTTACTGTATGGTTCCTATTGCTCCAGTGGGAAAAGCAACTCTTGTATGTTCAGGAGAGGACCTCATTTCTGGTAACACACCATTCTCTAGCTGCTTATCATCTTAATGTTCTTCTGGTTTATGCTCCCCTGACTAATCCAAAGTGAGAGCTTTCTGAGATACAGGAATAATGCTTGCAGGCTCACTGCATTTCAAACGCTTTCAATAAATGAAATAATCTACTATTTTCACTCAATTTGTACACCTGCAGTGTAGCTATGGAGCTACAACTGTGTCAGCAAAATTTAAAAGAAAAGATGCTTCAGCTACAGCATCCTTAGGTTCCTCAAGGTGCTCCATTCCCTTCCCACACTGCAGTAAGCCTCCTTGCAGGAGAGGGAAACTATTTTCCTCACACAGGAATGGCATTGAGCACTCCAAGCACTCAGGCCTCTCAACGACCTGCAGACCTGTGAGATCACTTAACGAAGAATCAGCAGCAGCACAGACTACTGCATGTGCTCCCAGTGACACTAGTGCACTGCAGCATCCCCCGTGGATTTCCTGTGGGTCTAGCACCCTGCCTCAAGTGCTCTCTGTCTTCTAAGAATCAATAGCTGAACAAGCAATGGAAGGGAAAAGAGCTGGGCTCGGTTTCAGGGTTTCAGAAGTCAGAAGTACAGTGCAGACAGATGACACCTGTTGTGATGCAAATCTAGTACATCCATGTCTGTAGGATGCGTTTGATCTGGGTTAGTGGGTTGAGTGGCTTATCTTCTGAATAATCTCACCATTGTGCTTCTGATGTGGTTCTAGACCAGAAGTCAGATTTAACGATTGCTGAACCATTTACTGAAGACTGGGAAATTAAAGACCACAAGTAATGAAGCCCAAACTCTTTGACAAGCATTAAAGCTCTTCCCCTGATGTGATGCAGCAGACACAAACAGAGATTTGTTTGCCCTATATCCCTTTTCACAATCATTTTGACCATGCAAATCAATGTCACTCTTCAGCTGTCCTGCAGGAAACATACAGGTGATGAATACCTCAGTTCCACTCTTCCATCAGAACCAAGCTACCTCAGTTTCCAGAAGGGTGAAAGATCCTTATGTACTCAGGCACAACTAATAAAGCAGCCTCCCTTACTGATAGATGTTCCAGATTTCTTGCATCAGAATCATATTTCACCTATCACTTTGATTCAGTTCTCTTCCTAACTGCAATTCCAGTCCTCATTTCAGACACGAGAAATGTATTTCCACATGTAATTCAGATTATTTTATCAGGATACCAGAGGTAAGACTTACCTTCTCTCTGTTTAACACTGGTGTGGTACTTGGATACTATGAAGCTCACCACCCCACGAAAACCTATAAATAAGCAAAGGCTCAATCCAATCACCTTTTCATAATTAAATTTAAAAGCCATATGTAAAATCAATGGTGTATTATCCAGAATTTGCTAGTAAGGAGTCTAAGCAGTGTTTTGTCACAGTATGCAAATTCCCACCCCCATTCCCCTTTACAATGCAAAATTTCTAGTTGCTGGCTGCAGGGGTAAACAGGTCCTCAGTGTTTCTGGAATAATTTTATTCCGGAAAGAAATTCTAAAGGAGTTAGCAACCCATTTACTGGTAATTCTGCTATGCAAGACGCATTTAGAAATGACTGTTCACTTTCTGCCACATCACTAGAATCCTGTTAACCAAGGTGTGACAATGGATGTTAGCAAGCACTTGTGCAGCACGCTCGTATCAGAGGGACAAACACTGGTAACTTACATTCATCACGCAGCTGGGCCATGCAGGAAATCATAAAGCAATCCCCGGAAGGAAACTCATGTTCAGATTTCAAATGGGTAAATAAAAAAAAAAAAAGTGTTAAGCAGTCAGCCATCATTATTACTGTATTTCTTTAGGAGCTTAATACGACATGTATTAAGCAGAGGGTATGTGCCACGTTGAATACAAATCCTTGCTGAGATGTAAAGGTCTTGTTCTAGCTTTCCCTGCCAGTCAAAATACTGTGGAATTATTTACTGTGTTGGAATTATCACCCATGTGCTGACCATATGGAAGAGGCTACAGCAAATGCACACAGGGAATTTACAGTGATATTATACACCCAGAATTAGCAGGCCTACAGAGGCACTTGGACTAGGGAGATACAGAGGAGAGTCTGCAGAACCTGCTGAAAATGCCAGTAAATCATTACAAACACTGCTCTTAAGCATCGCTGTGAAGTAACTCAGTGGTGCTATCTCAAGGAGAATGTACCAATCTCTAAATTCTGTATGAGAGTAGGGCATATGTGAATAATTATTTGTCCCAGAGCACTTTCAATCCGACAGAATCGACAGCAACTCCTTTATGTAAAGGCAGCCTGCACCTAAAGGAAACACTGCTTTTTGAAACTCAAGTCATTAAGGAGTTAGTGGTTGTGCCATGATTAGTACGATTCCATGTTTTCGCCTTTGAAGATCTTAGGATGGTCAGGATTGTAATCAGAAAGACTGCTTCTCCTAGAGCACATCTGCATGTTAAAAACTCTAATAACCAAATGTTGTTTAATGACTGAACTGCTAAGTAACCACCTTAAGAGACCAGTATATCCTTGTTAAGTTATTGGACAATGTGGTTTCCTTTTTTATTTATTTTTATTTTTTTTTTTGTTCTTAATTTTCTGTTGTTGTTGCTGGTTTTTTGTTTGTTTTTAATACAATTAAGGATGTGCTGTTTACACCCCACAAGAAAAAGCAGAAAGAGTCCTTATGGAAAAAAAACAAATATATTGAACACATACCAATCAAATGGTACAGATATGGGACTGGCTTTGATTTCAAAATTTAAGTAGAAATAAAAAAGATGTAATGCAACAGCTGTTCAATTTCCAAGTCTAAATAGGCACTGTAAAAAGACATTTACTCTTTCTCCAGCACACATTCCTGTCTAAATGCTCCCACTGTAATCAACTCCTAGGTTCCCAAACAAAAAAAGTCACTGGGAACATAACCTTAGAGTAAAAGTTAATATCCGTCCACCCACCCTCTTACAAAAAAAGCAAACAAAAAAAATTCCCCCAAAATACAACCTTTCAAATGCTGCTGTTTCAACTGGAGCAGAATTGGAGAATTTATAAAGGTTCAAAAGCACCCAAGGCAAGTAGTACAATATAATTTGTTCACTAACTTGTATTGGAAAGGAGATTAAAAACATTGAGATCTGTGTCTTGGTACATAAAACTGTTGTCCTGAATAAAGAGAAATCTTTCAGAGAAGTTTTACAACTTGGTGGAAGTCCAGGACCCAGCTTTAGGCATCATTAATTGATGGGGTTTAATTCTGACTTGGTTATAACCACTTTTATATACTGTACATCTACCCTAGTTGGATCAGTGTCTGGAACTGCTCACTGGTGTCCCTTTGAACAACTGTAAACTAAACCATAGTATGCAACTCCATAGGAAGCTAGAGATCGGGTGAATACACAGCCAGTTAAATCTCCCCTGCTTCACGCTCTTCTGAGCTCCTTGGGTCTTCGGATCGGCCATTAGCGCTTTCGTAAGAACGTTTCTTGTCTTTGAAATCTCGTGGTGACCTCTCTCTTGAGCTTCTATCTTTATCACGTGATGTTCTATCACGATCTCTTGAACGTTCTTTGTCTCTTGAAGATCTTTCTTTTGAGGATCTGAAAAGTGCAGTAAATTTGAGAATTCAAGTTAGTCAAGAATCTGTACACAGAATCACAGAATGTTAGGGATTGGAAGGGACCTCAAAGGATCATCTAGTCCAATCCCCCTGCTGGAGCAGGACCACCTAGATCAGATCACACAAGAACACATCCAGGCGGGTTTTGAACATCTCCAGAGAAGGAGACTCCACAACCTCTCTGGGCAGCCTGTTCCAGTGTTCTGTTACCCTTCCTGGGAAGAAGTTCTTCCTCATGTTTAAGTGGAACCCCCTGTGTTCCAGCTTATATCCATTTCCCCTTGTCCTATCATTGGATGCCACTGAGAAGAGCCTGGCTCCATCTTCATGACAGTGACCTTTCACATATTTATAGAATTAATGAGGTCCTCCCTCAGTGTCCTCTTCTCCAAGCTAAAGAGACCCAGCTCCCTCAGCCTTTCCTCATAAGGGAGATGCTTCAATCCCTTAATCCCTGTAGCTATCAGACACCATTTTGATTTTATATTTTTCTTCTTTTACCAACCCAACTTTAGATTTATATAAATAGAAGCGTATGAGCAGACATCAGAAATCATTCTACTCTTCTTCCTTTCCTACTTCCAATTTCAAAAGACAAATGTTGATAGAGGCAGAATTTAATCCACATTTATTACAGAGCCCAGATTAAGGCCAATGTGCTTCACTATATCTCTTATTTTCAACCTCTGCCCTCAGGCTGGCATTAACAGAAGTTTAATTGAAACTTCTCATCTCTAGGCTCTAGCTTGAGAAGAATGTCTAGCCTATTTCAGATATATAAATTATAAGCTTAAGAAACGTATTTAAAAATGGGAGTTTGATTAAAAGCAGGGGGAAATTAACTTGCATAATTCTAAAATGAGGCTTTTCCATGACAAATATAAACCAAATTTGGAATCTGTGCTACAATTAGGTTTTGTTAGAAGAATTATCCCTTGTGTGATTTTACCATGTCGGGGTGTGTTCTTTTTAGATAATAGGCATTTCCAAAACCTTTACCATGGTGCCAAAAAAGAGCTGTTCTGTTCTACAGTCCACGTAGTTTTAAATTAAATGAGCTACCTGTACTGGAATAAAACTGAATCAGACATCCTCCTCTATATTCTCTCACAGAGCGCACCTAAGCCTGTTTTTGAAAAACATCACATTTTCATTTTAAGACGTACTGCAATCATGAAAAATTCTAACACGTACTTTCACAGGAAAATCCTAACAGCATGCTGCAAAGCTAGCCACTAATTTCTTAGTAAAAAAAAAATAAATCTGATGTATTAGACAGTAAGACTGTACTCTCTCTACTTAAAAAAGTTACTGTCATCATCTCAAAGCTTCAAAACTAAAGTCTGCATAAGCTCCTGCACTAATTTCCTTTTATAAGCTTACAAAGAAGTGACCTTTCATTTTAGTTCCTCAGCTGGAAAGATTACTTTCCTCACAATGCAGTGTTTTGCAAGACTTACTCTTTGCAAACACTGAGATCCACAGGCATTACTCCTATTCCACAAACCACCTGTCAAACAGGAGAAGCTACGTGCCAAGTAAGAAGTTAATATTGGAGTCAGTACAGCTGTTTCACAAGTATTTTGTGCTGCAAGTCCCCTGCAGAAGTAACCATGCTTCCAAACCGGTTGACTCAGGATAACTCTAGTCATTAATCCTAGAAGAGGGAGACAGGATGTGATGCCATCCGCAGCTTTTCATTCCATGTGTTTTTGGAGGAATATAAGATGCATTCGTCCAGCTGTCCCATCTCTCTACAGATGAGTCTCTAATCAGCTGATGAGAAGAACTGCCTTTAACGAATCACAGCAGAGCCATGTGAAAGTTGACACAATTGCTTTAGCAAGCAGTATTACTACTAGAAGACTTAGAACCAAAATACCATTCCTGCCTTTCTCAAGGGCAAAGTATAGCCTTTAGAAACAGAACCTCTACTAGACTTACATTATCTAGAATGCTCAGAAAGCATTACTTCCTAAAGGATCAAGTGGATTCTTCAGCAGAAACCACCCCCTTCACCAGATATGTGGGCAGCATCCACACTGTCATGTCCTCCAGCTACGAACTGTGTTGTAATACGTGGTACTGGTTCCAAGACAGTATCTATGGATGCCTGCATTAGGTCTCAGGACATAAAAACGTAAGTAGCCTTGGACAAAAATCCTAGGGCAGCCAGTCAGATCCAAGAAAGCAGGGAAAGACGTAGCTAGTTTCAAACCTTCCAAGGGGTAAGACGTTTGGCTAAATGAGCTTGTGTTCTTCCCTTCAGTTTTCTCCTCAGAGTAACAAAAAAAAAAAAAAAAAGAAAGTTAAGTCTGTACTACTCTGCCACACCAGAGAATTAGCATAGGGCTAGAATATTCTGTTATCAACCAGGATCTGAAGGATATTAAAAAAAAAGTGCAACTAAATGCTAACAGTGGGATCTATCTCACTCAGCTTCAAATATCTGCCGTGTGGACATCCAAGCTAATCAACCAGATTTCCTTAACAGTCAGCAGAAGAAATAGACACTTTAAGGCATGATATGTCTCATCTTAAAATAGCCACAAAATTATGTCAGGTAAGCCTGCAATGAGACTCACGAGAATCACACCTGACCTAGTCATCTAAAGCCAGGTGAAATGAAGTCCCATTTTACGACTTCAGATACTCTATTTGTCCATAAAACGTCTGCATGGGAGTACATCAGCCCTTGTCACATGAATTCTTGCAAGTGGGCTCAAGCATACTGACACAACCATTTCTCAATTTACCCACATGTAGGTCTGCTGTCATGACTGATCTTATCATTGAGTATGCATCTCAACATCTAACTGCAAATATTCAGTTTCTCCTTCCAAAAAATCAAGAAGCACAAATTACATATTTTGTTTCTAATGAGATGAAAGATGAATTTTAGTTACTTAGAACTTACAGTCAACAATGAGGAAAAGTAGGAGTTTATATTTAGATCTGCTCTTGATAAGCCATTAATCCAAGCTAGGATTACTAGGTAGACCTAGAGTTCCTATTACCTTAGGCACGTTGCTGTTATTACCAGATGGGTTCTCATTATCTTAGACAGATTACTACTATTGCCAGATACTCTATTATACACATTCAGTTGTGCCCACAGAGTGTGGAGGTCTGCTCCTTATATTGATAAATTTGAAACAAGATCTCAGTCATTAAGAGATTTAGATCTATCCACCTGTTCATAGGGTTAATGATGATACAGATTAAGGAAAACACATTTATTGGACAAATTTATGTATTTGCAGGATTTCCTCAGACACAGCACACAATAAACATGTCTCTACTTTCAGAATGAAGAAGTATCTGAAAGATGGCTGCTCTTCATTTACGTGGAAGGCTCTTCAGAAAATAGCTTTTGAAGAAAGGTGGACAGGAAAACCAAAAGAAACTGCATGGTTTGCTGCAAACAGTAATAGTCAGCACGTTTGCCTGTGATAATGTTGTTACATAGAACAAAATGGGAAAATGACTTCCAGGAGAAGCACATCAAGAGCTTCTCCAGTAAGAAGTCTAATAGTGTAGTATGCTTGCATGCTGAAGCCATAATGGATGTGATCAAAACTGAAAATACCCAGACACATAAATAGCTTTTACAAGCAGCCTACAATAACTGTATTTCATGGTTCTTTAACCAAGCCCAAAAATCACACTGAAGGCTTTAGGTTAACATAAAATGATGCAACTCTTCCCACATAGCAACCACAACTCTGCACTTCTCTTAAGGCCCTAGAATCAGTGGCATCATGTGCTGCCATTGCTGCAGCTTTCAGCTTTCTGCTGCTTCTGATGTCACATTCTGCTCCTCTGCAAGACTTTGGCAAAAACACCGCGTTCCCCAGATCTGAACTTACTTGGTTATTCAAAACCAAAAGGCTACGACTCCTTCCTGAAGTAGTTTACTTGCTGGAGGGTGTCTTAGGTTCCATACTATTTTTTTGCCAGAATTCCTTGGACAACTGAATGTTTTGAGCTTAAGGAAGACAGGCTTGAATAAAGGTATTTCAAATCAGGATTTTAAGAAATTCTTCCTCAAAAAAACTTTAAAAAAATAGGATCTGACAATGATTTCCCTGCACTAGAAAGCGCTCTTAGCGGACCAGGAAGTATAATACGTTTGAGCTTGCAAGTTTGGGTTTATTGTGGATTCTGAAACGAACAGTGGCATGGTATTCAACAGAAAGACTTCTCCCACATTCAGGTGAAAAGCAGCTCTAGCGGCTAGAAGGGCATCTCTAAAAAGGAGGTATCCAGCCTGTCTGCAAGTCCAATAGCTATCCCGGTCCCAGTGAAGCAAGACCATTGCTTTAAGGATTCTTTAGTCTCTTGAAAACACAAAATACATACTTAAAGAGCAAAAATTTTGCTTGACCTCAGAGAAAAAAAGAGGTATGAGCTGCTAAAGATGGCACAGCAGTTTTTTCCTCTCAAGTTAATAGTAATGCAAAACTTTCATTTGTACCAAGAATTGTTCCAACACAAGTGTGTCTTATTCCTTCAGGGCAAGACATCAGGAGAAATATTCCCAGTACTGAATATCGTAAGGTTGAAGTCTCATGCCTTGCAGTATGTTATATTTTTTAACTCATTCACACAAAACAAAGCTTGAAAGGCTTATCCTTTGACAACATCTTGGAAAAGGATGTCCTTTTCCAAGACGTTGTCAAAGGACATTGACGTCATCTTCAAATCACCTTGTGCTTTTTCAATTTGCTTTTGGCAACTGAGACTGACAGGTTTACTGTTGTATGGATAGCACCAATGGTCCAAATAATTTCCTTGTTCTTACATATTTCTCTGCCAACATATAGAAGACAACGCCTCATTTGCATTGTGCATATCATATTGGAGAGTTTGAACAACTATGATGAGAATCTCAGAACAACCAATGAGTATAGTTTTCTTTGACGAACCAAAACCAAGTCTTGCAAGGCTGGACTTCAAAGTTGAAGAATTACAGTCAATTTGAGCATACGCTCTATACATTGGTTCATCTAAGTTAAAAGGTGTGTTGATTCACAGGAAAATATCTAACTTAGGACTGAAAAACTACAGGTTTGAAGATTCGCTAATCTGCCACTGTGAGTGCCTTTAAGAGGCAGGCTCTTTAGGATAACTGTAATGACAGGCTACAATCCAGATGGAAATTGCGGAGTCTAAAATGTTGACTTTAGGGAACTAAAGAACACCCTGAAGAACTTTAAATACTAGATACTACTGATTGTATCAACTAGAGTGCTGGATATTTAAGTCTACTCATCTGCAACAAAAAGTGGGTAACAAAAGACTTGGACTAACCCTGTCTTCTGTGCTCTTTTACAGAGCACAATGGGACTACACTCACCTACCTACTCCATGAAAAAAAACTCATTTTTAGGGGAAAGAGCCCATGAGATACTTGAAGACATTCAACACATATTTCACTGTCCTCAGTGATTTAACTCCTAAAATAATTTGAATTATAAACCCCACATGTGCAGCCACTTCAAAAACTTCAAAATCTTCTCTCTTCTTGCAAGTCGACAGGCTGTCAAGGGTTTTAACACTGGGCACCTTGTCCACTGTACTGCACTCAAATCTATGCCATCGTGGCTGACCTACACAAGAAAGGAATCCTGGTTATGAGCAGACCTCCCCCTACCAGATGCCTCCTTGTGAAATTCCAGCACTTTTCTAAACTATGCTTACCTCACTCATCTAAAACAAGCCAGCAAATCCTCAGGAGCAGAGAGCAACTGAGTCATTCAAAAGCAACAGCCCCAGACTGCTCTCTGCAGTAATCCTTCCATGAAAGTTTAAGCCACTTTACTTGTAAAGCAACATCTTCAGATGCAATGCAACAAGTTTATTTTCAGGTCTATCTAAACTTGTTTTTATCTGGCATAGTACACAACACATGGGCTCCTGTGCTGGGAACAAGAGCCCAAGGGAAAAAACAAATGAATGACAGCAAGATGACTGCTGATAGATGACCACTGGGTTCAAGTGGAGATCAACTGTTTGACTTTCTACACTGGTAGTATTATCATCTTGACATCAACACCTTATACCACTCCTGCAAAACAGAAATAATACATAACCCTATTATCTTTAGCTAAAAAAAAAGAAAAAACCCAAAAAAACCCCTATTTTTATGTTAAATAATAAACATGCTAAAGGTGTAAGTGAAATCTGACACGGTCTCAAAATGTGTTCATATTACTAAGCAATAAATGTAAACTTAATGTAGTGCGAAAGCCAGGCACCCAGGAAAAGCCATTTACTTCTAGGCCAACATTTACCTCTTTTTGGAGCTGCGTTCTCGGCTTCTCTCCCTGGAACTATGCCTGCTTCTATGATGGCTGCGACTCCGGCTGCGGCTGTTAGAGCGAGACCTGTGACGATGACGTTTCTCACGAGATTTAGAGCGAGTGCGTCTCTTTCGTTCCCGGGAGGCTGAGCGAGACCGATGCCTGCGGCGATCTCGGGACCTAGATCTAGGAACAGAAAGGACTTAAACCAGACACTGCATTCACCTAGCTACTCTGTCAGTGCACTCTGAACACTGTGCACCCTATGCATAAGGAAAGTTGTACAGAAAATGGTCTGCAGTGTTCAGAGCTACCACATTGTCCTATCACAGGCAAACACTGAGAGGGGAAAGCAACATTAGAAATCCTACAAACTTCTTCGTGACTAACGCAGACTATTTTATAGTTAATTCATGACTGTAGGTATGGTTACAGCATAGCCAATTCAGGCTTCTGAAAGGAATTACAAACATGGAAAAAAAAATCTACTTTTTAAAATTTTATAACCTTGTCTTTAAGCCCTGGTTTTGACTGGGACAGTTAGTTCTTCTTAGCAGCTAGAAGAGCTCTGTGTTTTGGTTTTAGTCTGGAATTTGTTAAGAGAAGAATGTTGACAGCGCACCGATGTTTATAGTTGGCACTGAGACCTCAAGGACTTTTCAGCTTGCCATGTTTTTGCCAGTGGGCAGGAGCACAACAGGCTGGGGGACAAAAGGACTCACAACTCTCCTTATGATTTGAACTTAGACTTAGGATTGAGGGCTAAATTGGCCAATGAAGTATTCCATATCATGCAACGTCATGCCCAGTATATAGATGAGGGCTGATCAGAAAGAAGGGCTTTTGCTCTTCTGGGAACTCTCCTGAGAAAGCTCTCTCTCCTGGATTCTCAAGAGTGCTATCTTTTATTCATTGTCTTTTCAGGCCTCTCTCATCTGAGATTGCAGTGTCGGGACTTATCTGTTTCAGGATCGTTTGCCAGGATGGAACAGGGGTTGGTCACCAAGTGGTGAGCAATTACACTGTGCATTACTTGTTTGTGTATATTATCATTATACATGTATATTTTAATATACTATTGTTATCATTATTACTTTTAATAATAACAGGAATAATAATAATAATTTGTTATTATCTCAACCCATGAGTCTCCTTCCCTTTTCCCCTTTCTCTTCTCTGTCCCCTGGGTATGAGGGAGGGTGAACGAGCAGCCGTGTGGCATTTAATTGCTGAGGGCTAAGCCACAACACTTTATCAGGCAAAGTTGTAGAACTTTGCAATTCAGTGATAAGGATCATCTGTCAGAACCTATGTATTATCATGTTCTGAGAAAACAGGACTATATCCTTCCCCATAGCTATTGCAGTAAAACTAGTCTGGAAGGTTCTAAGCACAACACAAATTCATTTTTTTCTTTACTTCAAAAAAAAAAAAAAAATCACTTTGCAATAATGTCTTGCTGGTGACCTCCAACTGCAGTCATTAGGTTAGGAAGAAAATTTGTACTATTGATGGGTCATCTCTTGAGAGTTAATCTCACACTTTGGATTTTAAAAACACGGGTTTTCACCAAAACGTGTTAACCACAAGCTTCTGTTTTGAAGAGAGCAATTCTCTGTGTTCTAAGCATTATTTGGGACAAAAAGTTGCATTGTAGTAGCCAGAAAATAAATTAACAGGTGTAAACTCAGTAGCATATATACTGTATAAACACACAGAGAGATTACTATGTAACAGAATGCTTTGTTTGTAAAGATGGACATCTTAAACTAATAGTGCTAGACAAGCTTCAAGTGTTCCAGCTCGTGAAAGGCTGGCACTGATCATATTCCTTGTCTGCAGATTTATATACCTTTTGGTATGCTTGCTGTGGGATCTGGACCTGAAACAAATGGAAAGTAGTAAATCAATTTTTCTCACAGAATGTTATTATCAAAGAAAGTACAGATTATTAATAACAAACTAAACTCGTTGACCTGCTATTGTATTTCTTATTTTATTAGCAATTATTTGAAGGGCTTTTATTTGATATTAACATCTTTGTAACATATTTACCAGGAGATGCACCACTCTGACAACTGTTTTGTGTTTGTTGGGTTTTTATTTCTTTTTCAGCCCACCATACTACAAACCCAAAAGAATACCTAATCTGCTTTTTTATTCCCACTGCTCCCACAGAAAACGCTTACAGTTCAAGCCAGTACTCCCTTATTTCTTGTCAGGCACATACTATCAGACAGCAACAGATTTCAAAGTTTACACTGTTAACTTCTGAAGCTGACATGTCAAGAGAACTGCAGGTCAGATTCCATCCTGGTCTAGACCCACATGGCCTGGAAGCAACTATTTCATAGAAGAACAGGGAATTCCTTTCCTCAGTCATACATTCAACTACTTCCAATAAGGAAAATTTCTAACATCTATAAAGAAAACATCTAACAGATGTTAGAAACTCATATGTGTATAAGTTCACATCTGTCAGGTCTCAAAACAAGGCATACGCCTGAAAATTCTCTCATTTAAAGGCCATTTGTTCAAATATGTAGAGATACTTCTGTCAGTAGTTTTTAAAAAGGCTTTCTACGAAAACAATCCAGGTTTTAAGAGTTAGACATGAAATTCACTCTCAATCCTTGTAAGATTCCAAGGAATGCAGACTATTGTGATCCTGCAGGTTTAGAAAAAGGTGTACGAACTACATCACAGTTTTCCCATTAAACTTAAATAGGTCATTATGTATATGCAATTAAAATAGAACCTTACCTCCTTAGTTTCTCCCTTTCTTCTATTTCCCTCTCCTCTCTACGTTTCAGACGTTCCTGATTTCGTTTCTCCTGCTTATCAGCCACAATCCTCTAAAAACAAAGGAATATATTCATTAAGTTACATTTCAAAATTTCTCAGATAAAGGTGCTATAAAAATAATCTAGACAGTTAATACTCAGTTCTTTCCCTCATGTATATTGCCTTTGCCTTGTGTATATTATTCCCTCTCTCTTCCTCAGTGTGTGTGTATATATATTTATATTTATCTATTTATTTATTTATTTTCCTCCAAGAAACAGAAGTTAGTGCAGAAGAGCTGCAGCAAACAGATGGGTGTTACAAAAAGACCTGAAATATTTAGAATTATACTAAGTCTTCCACAAAGGGGAATTTAGAGCAGTAAGTCATGCCTGTATTGAGAGAGTTTCCATGCCAATTCTCTCAGGGGTAAGGTAGAAAGGAATCAGAACTGGGAGAGTTAATGATTAACTCCTTCAGCTACGCTGTGACATAAAGAAATCCTTAAAGGACTTGGTTGGGCTGACACCTAGTTTTGGGGCTACTTGTTTCTGTACTGTGAACATGAGACATATAATTAGAGAGGGTGCTTCAGCTGTTAGCCCCCAGGCTGAACTCACTACTACTGGGGACAAGGCACGCTCAGTAGAGGGCCCTCAGATATGGAACTCACAACTGGAGATCTGGCCAAACCCAAGTCTCGCCACCTTCTGGACATGATGCAAGAAATTCAACTCTTTGTAAAGACCTTCTTCTGAGATGTGGAATTGCCCCAGCAGCATCTTGATTAGATCTCTGAGGAGAGGTCTGAGGAAGGAGGGGATAGTTATTGTTTTCTTTTTTGTTAGCGAAGTACTTCAAAAGATTATTTTATTGATGCTTTGGGAATGGGAAATAATTATCCATGCATTTTTTTTCCAAATGGCATACATAACCAGCTATTTCAACTCTATGTCAAATTATATGTATAATTCCTTGTACAGTATCACTAATTTCACTACAAGCAAGGTTTCTTGTTCAAATGACTCTTTGCGTAATTTAATGGAGGTATGAGAGGAAGCCCACATAATCTATTGTAGGCACCTAAGGTTTGAGTTACAGCACCTATATTTAGAAGCCTAATTGCCAAAATAGTCAATGGAAAGAGTTGGGCTTTCCAAAGGTTAAAACACAGTATCCATACAAGACAGCTGGAATATTATGAAATATAAACCAAGCCAATTTACTCAAACTGAGTAGCTGCGTTTTCTGCTTTTAGGGCTTCAACTCATTTAACTACTGTCCTTAGTGATTTCTACAGTCAAATGCTTATTTGAGCCTTGAACTCCATAATTTGCATATTAAGATCATAGATGGCATCAGCGTCCACATCCATCCTCTTGAATACCAAAAGTCTAGAATATAATTCCAGTAAATCTTTCTTCCAGCACATGGTTTCTGGTCAAGATAGTGTTGTTTAGGATAATATTCCAACCGGATTTCAAATCTTCAAGCTACAGAGAACAACCAACCTCCCTGTAACAATTACTTTAATATCTAGTCTGACTTCAAGATATACATCTTTTTGTATTCTGACTTTGGATAGCTACAATCTTGAGTTGTTGGAATTTAATTATTTCATCTATTTTGAGTTAAGCTTAAAAGCCTCCAAAAATTATTTAAAAAAAGAAATCTTCTTTAGTTGTTGGTACCTACAGAATGAAAGTCACCTCCTAATCTTTGTTTGGATAAAATAAACCAATTGCAGTTTAGTCTTTCACCATACAGCAGGCTGTTTGAGCTCCAAGAATTTCTGTAGATCTTTTTTGAAAACTTTGCCATGTGTTGCTATTCTCCTTACGTACCAAAAATGAAGATTTCAACACTAGCCCTACTAACATTTTATCCTAATTAAATAAATAAAATATCACTCATTTAGGACCACTACATGTTCTTGTATTTTCAAGAGTCTCATTATCACTTTTAGCCATCAACTGGCTAAAAGTAAAGTTCATTTGGCTATCTCCTATGAATACTAAACATGTTTCGATGTCACTGTCATTTAAAATATAGTTCTCCATTTTATGAGTGGAAACGCACTCTTTGTTCCCAAGATGTATTACTTTTAACATGTGTCTTAATATACCTCAGTGCAAAAGAGGTCATCTTATCAAATTATACACATAATTGATATTAAATTAGAATGTTTAGTGTTTTGTAGAGTAATGAAATCCCTAATTTTAAAGTAACATGAAAAAAATTCATACACCCAGAAATAAATATTCCATTAAGGTTGCCTGGCAAATAATTCAGTAAGAGCATACACATATATATATACACAAAAAATTAAGAATTATTTACCCTGAGTTCCTCAAGCTTCTCTCTTATTTCAATAAATCCTAAATGCAGTTTTCCTCCAAAGTGGTCAGCAAGTCTTCGGTCATTGTCATGAAGACCAAGATAAGCCGAGCACACTTCACAAACCCGTAGCTTCTGCTGCTGAAAGCTGGAGGCAGGCATAGAATTTCTGTATACTTCCTGAGGGGAAAAAAAAAACAGCAGCAATTCGCTAACTGTTACTTCTCAATGTACAGAAACACAAAGATAACACTCTACCGAAGATATACCAATATATCAATAACCAAATTCAACATACACCAGCACACCCTTTAGTTAATTCATGCTATCCATAAATCATCTGTCTCATTAAGATACAAGGCACGTTCCTTATTTTGAAGATTGGACATATTTAAAAGCACGACATCAGCAACTGGTTTTGCAAATCGAACAAAGTGGAGTGACCTTTCAGATCATACTACTTAGAAGGATCAACAACTTTTTCATATGCAACAACGAATACACGTTAATACTACAATTACTATATTAACATGTTATGAAAGCATTGCACCAGTTTTAATTCTGAACCCAGTTTAAAACAGCAGTAGTTTCCTGAGAAATCTACGTGCATTTTAGGCACCATTTAAACAACTTATCTGAGCAAAATTTATTTACAGACACTCAGATGACAGATAAGCAAGACTGCCAACAACCCCTCTGCTATCATCAAAAAAACTACAGATGTTTCTTTCTATAAACTTAAGTATCTTGGTGAAATATGATATGGAAAAGCTCTTGTTGAGTTCTGCCATCGGAACATTACAACAAGGACCGTTTTGAGTTGCCTGATACACAAGCCATTGATTAATTATCTTTCAATGAAGACACAATGGTTTGGTTCACTGAAGCTTTCCCGTACGAGTCACATCAAAACACCACGAGGCATAAAGGGTTGCCACAGCAAGAGCCGTGAGACCGAATGAGGTCAGTCAGTCCAACACGCAGAGACACAACTGTAGTGTCCACAGACACAACTGGCCAATACAGCTAAACGGACATAAACGCATCATCCATGGAAGTGAGTATAGTTGTAATAGTATAGGACTGTATTTAAAGGTAGAAACTTCAACCGCACAGAATGCTGCAAAGCAAATTCTTTAGTTTTATATGAAGCAGATAGTTAAGGAAGTGACAGCAGATAAGACATCTTGCATTACACTGATGCCAAACAATTTAATACTGGACTGTGCTCTCTCCATCCTCCAAGCAGTACACAATCAACTTACTTCTGCTTCTCTCTTCTTTACTCGAGCCTTCTCCACTTCATCCATTACTTTTTGAGATTCTTCCACATTCCCATCAGCTCCGAGCTGCTCTACTTTGGCCAGCAGTTTCCCAATTTCTTCATTCAATTCATGTACTCTTTCAGCCTTGAAAGACAAGGAAAAGCTTAACACAGGAAATGTTTCTAATGATGGAAAACAATCTGAACTACTACTGAGTTATTATATGTAAAATTGGTAGGATAGAAAAAAGAAACATGCAGAGAGAACTTCTCCAGGTAAAAGAAAAACAGAAGTTGCCTCATGTAAAAACACACAGAGAAAGGCTGTGTTACCAAGCCTATGTACCAACTCCAGAGCAGCTTTTTGTTCAGAAACTTCAAGTAATTCACACTGTTGTCTATACCACAGTCTTGCAGAATTAATATTTGTACAATCATTCCTCCTAGCATGTGCATACACACACAGAAAAGTGATAGAAGTTTTTTGAGTTAGAAGATCTAGAGAAAAGCACATCAAATTTTGTTTATTTTATGGATGAAGTTTTGATCAAAAAGTTTAAGAATTACTAACATTTGTATGGCATGCTATCACAGAGAGTCAAGTTTCCTGAGCTCAAAGATATAAGAGTGGTCTCTTCCCTGTGTTCTCTCTGTGCTTTATAGGCAGTTTCAGGAAGGACAGAGAAAACGTCTTATTTTTTTGCCATCCTCAGTATAAATTCTCAGATTAGATAGCTTGCCAAAGCCTTAAGTTGGCTCCTTAAAAAGACCTTCAAAGAGACTTCAGTAACTAGTTTTACAAGCTTACTTTAGCTGCAACTTCAGCACTGATCTCTTCTTGGGTTTCTGCTAGTCTTTTCTTAGCCACTTCTGTTCTCCTGTCACAGTCTGCAATAAATGACTGCAGGTGGTCCATTGCCTAAAACATCATTAAGAACACTGATTAATGCTGTCAAGAACATGAATATTTCATTAGCCTTAACACTTTCCAGGTTTGTTGAGACTTAACTTTTATAAGCTTTTATTAGTAAAACCTTCATGAAACAATAATCTAGCTGTTTATGGTGACTAGTCACATACATTAACACACAACATTTTAAAAATAATAGTCTACACATTGTCATAGTTTTAAGTATTTGCAGAAACTTGGAAATGAATTTGTCTTAAGACTTCTCTAACATAACATCAAAGGATATTCAGGTTCACCTCACCCAGCCAATACATGCAATACTGTAAGTTTTTTCACTAGGGTTTTAAGCTATTAAGCATATTAATATCATCCCTCCAAACAACAACAAAAAAATCCCAAACCTTTTTGTTCTAATGAAGACTAACTTCTAGTTGGGAGTTCAATACTGTATTACTCAAACTATGTTGTACTAAGACACAGCATATGATTTGTTGTCCACAAAATGACTGACTTTCTTCAATAAGCATAGAATTTAAGACTCTTCAAAGCATACACAGCCTTAACATTTGCTTGGTATTTGATAGCACTGAGACGGCATCCAGGTTTATGATAATTTGTTCTGCGGAAGGCTGTTAACAGTTCTACCTAGAGATGTCTATCAATACAATTTAAATACTCGCATATAATCATGAAGAGGCATGTATCTTTTATGTAACTGTGCCAAGGGTTTCTCTGTCTCTTTCTACAAAACTACTTTTCAAAAGCTTTCCTTCTGTGTGTTCCAAAACTTAACTTTTGTTGCTTAGTTTACCCACTAAGGTACACAAATTATTCTTTCTCTCCACCATTAAGACAAAATACATACATCAAGCTCAAAGAAGAAATCTTGATCTTTGGATGCTATTTCATAGTCTGCCCTTAATGCCAGGTCATGCACCTTCAGGCATTCTCCAAGGTCCATTCTCTGAAAAGAGACAGAGGGAAAGCGATGTAACTTTTCAGAAGTATCACAAGGAATGAAGTTAGCATAATTTTATTTAACAGTCAAATATTCTGAAGCAAATAATCTGCCCTATGGGAATAAAAGGATAGTTTAATGAAGCTCTAAGACAATACTGAATCTTTAATAAACATGCATGAATTAGGAAATAATAAAAGCAGGTGGAATGAACAGCTTATCTTACCACGATGGCTGTTTGCATTACAAAGTATCAATAATGTCCTGCAAAAACGTTGTTTTACTGAAAACGCAGAAAAGTGACTGAAGTGGCACATCCTGTATTGAATTAAAACAGCTTAGGAGAACCAAGTTCCCTGCAAATAACTGACAATTAAATGGTCAAATGCTTGATCTAAACTGTCTGCACACTCTACAATATGTATTCCAGTTACATTCATCACCCGAAATAGCTAAAACCACAGCACAACTGTAAGTGCTGCTTAAAAACCATTCTTGAAGCATTTCAAGAAAGACAGCCAAAAATCAAATCCCAGCAAAACATTTTGTAGATGAGTGAAGATAAGTTGAGTGTTGGACTATGTTCAAGAATCAGGGAAGAAAAAGGGTAGATATTCTACTTGTAATCTAAAATCATTCTAAAAAGGGCAGGAAGGAAGCATGAACTTAAAAAAGCAAATGGGGTGCATCACTAATCTTGTGTACAAGAGAATCTTGCCACTGAGAAGAGTGCCCAGAACCTTATTAGGTAACAAAGGTAGGTAAATTGAAATTTGCATACCACACAGCATAAGGTATTCTAATTCAATCTGTTCCCTGAAAGTTTGTTTGGTGATCAAGACAGAGCAATGTGCACAAGACAAAAAAAACAACCAAAACACAACACCCACAACTCACAAACAACAACAAACAACCCCCCCAAAATTATGTGTAACAGAAACAATACTGAACAAAACTGAAAATCAGCACAGTCAAGTCCTCTCACTTAATATTAAAAATAATAATCCTTTCTTAACACTGAAAGTACATAACAAAAAGCTGAACTGTGATGCAAAAAGCTGTTACTGTTGTAATTTAATAAGTTTTAGAACCAAAACTAAAATAATTTTTAGTTTTGTAAATAAAAGAAGAGTGTTAACTGCTGTTAGTCATTTGGATTGAGTCTGTTTTTTTTCTTTGTAATCGTGTTTTTCTTGTTTTTTTTAAATAAAATAAAGTATTTAAGTAAATAAAATACTTGCATTTAAGTAGCAATTCAAGCCTCACAAGTACAGTAAAAAAAAAAAAAACAAACCAAACACCAATTGCTTTCCACTTATCAAATCATCAGTTAGATGTTCCAACAAATCCATTAAAGTAATTTTTACGGAAGGTGTTGGTTTATTTAAAATGTTAGAGACAGAAAAAACATTGTTAAAATGCAGAATTTTGAACTCGAAAGTTTTTGATAAGCTGTAGTTACTTAAATACCCTTCAGCCACCATAAATCTGTTCTCCAGAAAACATTTGATTGCAATAGAAAACATGATTGCAATGCTAAAAAAAAGATTAGCTTTTCCTTTTGCAACTACACAGGACCTCAGCAATTTTGTTAATGGATGCAAATCCACACAGACCTTGAAGCCGAGTAATGTATTACACGTGTCTTTTACAAGTCATTAGATGCTGACGTTATTTAAACTGCAGCATTCTTTCAGGAAAGTACTTCAGTACTAGGAAAATAATATGAAAGAACATTTTAAAATTACCTGAAAATTAGACACTTAAAAATCCTCCTAAAATTGTGAAAAGCTTGTCTTTATGCTGATTCATCATTTGTACTGATAAAGTATTTAAGGTTAAACTGTGAAACTCACAGCTAATCCTGTCTTAAGTGAAGCACTCCACTTCTAAATGCCTGGATAAGGCTAGTGACACATTTTAATAGATCTGAATACAACGACAAAAAGTCTGAAACATATCCACCATGGCATCAGAAAAATGTTATTTTAATACGCAATCCACATAGACTTTGAATAAAAGCATGAAATAAACTTCCATCACACTCTACTACCACATGAATTCTGTTCAAGTGTGTTTTATGCGTCTTTTCCCTCCATTCAGGTTGGATTTGCCCTCCTCGAGACAGTATATATTTTCTGATCTCTTCTTACTGAAAATTTTAAACCTATAGCCTGAAAGGATGGTAATTACTTTGAGCCAGCGTCACTACTGAAAATTTTTTCTGTCCTCTCTTTATCACTGCACTATGCCACCTCATGCTGGCACATCTGCCTGCGCAGCTGAACACAATCTGGGTACTGACTGGGTAAAATGTATCTTAGCAAACCAAAAACAGGCAATTTTTCAGCAGTGCACCTTTGTCCAACTTGTCAGGCAGCCACACAAACAGATACGCTGACAATATGCAGGAGGCAACGTACCAGTGGATACGAGCAGCTAGGATCTCTTACAGTATCAAGAAGCCACTTCAGAAACTCTCAAATAACTGCAGTAATATTAGAAGTGATTTTGGAGGATGAGGGGAGTGTTAGGCAGGATTTCTTTTTCTCAAGTATCTCAATCAGCAGACAGGAAATTTTGGCTCCCTTTCCCCTCTTTGATCCAAGAGAGTGCAGTCTTATAAATACGTGGCTGAACAGACAGGGAGCAAGAACAAGCACGTAGAGGACAAAAGGATTCTTTTTCATTAGCTTTGCTGCTAAAGAAATTCTATCATTGTTGGAACTGCTCCTTAACGCAGCCTATACTAGTCTTGGCTAATCCCTTAAGAGCACTTTAGCAGAAATATTACTACTAAATGTTTGTATTAGTTCTATTAGCAAACCCCAACGTAGAGAGACCTACAAAAAACTCTTAAACCAGTTTGCATAGTACATGCAAAATCAGGCTAAGAAGCACTTCTGCTGGTGTAAGTTACGCAACAATAGGCAAAGACAGTTCATGTTGTGGATGATTCATTACTTTTAACAGTCTATGCCTGATCAGGATTGTTGAGGACCTTAGTTAAGTACAAAGCAGCTCGTATTACAATTTGGCTCATACAGCCAGCTGCAAAGTAGATGGACAGCAGATGAAAATGGACAGAAAATACAGTAAGACATTATTTTAATTTTCCACGTCCACCTTGCAATTTGGTGCCAAGACATGCCCTCCCCCAGAGACAAAGAACAAACACTGGTAGTCAGCCATTTAAAGATCAACCACATTTGAAACAGGAGACACTATGAGAGAGACTAACCAGACACTGAGCTACTAAGGCTTAAAAAGAACGTCCATAAACTCCTTTTCACTGTCAATACACTGACTTTCAGACAGACTTTTACTAAAGTGATTTACAGAGGAGTCCTGATGAGTAAATCAAATAAAGAAAGGTGAGAACACTCAAGTCCCCAGGCTAGACATAACTAAAGTTTATTAAATGTGTGCAGCCATGATCTGGGGCTGTTTGCAGTTATTGCACTTCTACTGAAGATTAAAAGCAGAAAAAAACCCTACATATTTGGAGAATCTTTCTTATAAGTGAAAGCTATTGCTGAAGATTAGTCTAGAAAATAGTCTAGGCAACCACATGCAAAACAGGGTATCAGGAGTCCTTTTGCTCTTGCTGAGCTCTCCTCAAGAAACTAGTGTCTTCCACTCACAACTTGCTAGACGTTTTTTATAATATTTTTTATTTCTCAGCTTTAGATGGGCAATTAAAGATACTTAGAGTTCCCAAAGCTGAAGTTTAGACAACTAGTTTTTCATCCCAAACAACCTCATATTGAAATGATTTACTAATCATTTTTGTCATCCCATCCACAAAATCGATAGAATGTCTTTGGTATTAATACAGAAATATGGATTACATACATTTAGTTTAACAATGAGGCATAGCTCTGCTTCAATCAAATCAAGTACAAAAAACCAAACCAAAACAACAAAAAAAGAGAATCATTAAGTATGAATAGACAAGGAAGAGCTGGCCAAAGACTCAAGCAATAGAGAATCTGAAGATTTTATCGGTAAAATAAATGTGCACTCAGAGTAGCTGACGCTAATAACTGAACCACAGACTAAACTCCGATGTGATACTGTTTCTGCAACATGAAATTATGGCAGCTTTCTTTTCAGATCTTGAGCTACCGATAGAAAATTTCCCATTTTGGCACTTTTACAATTACTACACATTCCTTTGACATCAGAGATTAGATTATTGAATGTACTCTATATGCAGTGCAAAAAGAGCATAGAAAAGCCAAAGCTCTTTAAAACACAGAGGGCTGATGTTGAGCCAAGTGTGACATAGTAGCCACGCTATCAATGCTTCTAAAAACAGCATGCATCTTTGATAGGTTTTGAAAGAAGATACTCTGGGCAGTGTTTCTGTAGAAAATTATTTCTAGCTATAAAGATATTCATACCAAAACAGTTCACATTCAGCAAGGGAAGATGGATTTTTTGTTTGTTTGTTTGCTTAGAAGGACCTCACATGACTGAAAAATTTATATTGGAGGAATCAGATCTCTCCCTTTATCAAATTGTCAAGGCAACTATTGGGGTCTGTATGAGAACACCCTTGCTACTGATAAAAAGAAGCTACAGACAGACTCTTTGCTGAGATCTTCCTTATTATGGAACTCACTTTTCACCTGCACTAACAATTTTGTTTGACAGATTTCTAGACTTGTGATAAAGTCTGTCCTTTCTTGTAGGCAACATATGTTCAGAAGAGGAGCCTTTAGAATGATATAACAATGCGTGACTGAAGTCCTCTGACTCCACTAAAGGTGTTAACTTTCGTAGGACTTCACTAGCAGGAAAGAAATGCTAAGCTAAACGGAGGTAGAAATTATTAATTACTGAAGTCCTTAGCAATCACCAAAAATTCCATGTATCTTCAGAAATATAACACTTCTTTAAAGACATTTCTCCTTTTAACCATATCTCACTTCTGAAGACTTCAAGTCCTTAGAATAGATCTTTTCTAAAGACAACACTAGCAGTAGTCTTTCTTATTTTTAAATAAGATATTTCAGTGTTTACACAGTA